GCGCGGCGGGCGGCCGCCAGGGGGCAGCACCGCCCGCCACCTCTTAAAGGCACCGCGCCGCCCCTCTCAGTTATTGGGAGCTTGTTTCCGTCGATGGGTCGGGGGGCTCAGGAGTGTTTTTAGGGCGGCCCTTCCCAAGTGGTTTTACCTTTTGGAGGGGCGAAGGGAGGGAGTCGTGGTGTGGGCACTTCCTGCCTGTCCTTTGGGGGTGATCGAGCCGCCGAAGATCTCTGTGCCCCCAGCAGTGTTCAGCCCGGCGAAGGCAGTTCATTGCAACTGCAAGCGGGGGGCGGAAACGTTCAGGGAGGTCGCCTCTCTTCCCTTGAGAAAGCCGACCGGAGCCCAGGATGGAGGCCCCTGGGGAGGGGTATGAACACCCAGGGGCCTTCCCAAGGCAAAGGACGTTGACCACCAACTCACACTCTGAGTCTCCTTCAACGGAGGGGGAGGGGGTGGACTAGAAGCGGCAAAAATAAGAGGGACATCCGCAGGAGACCTTTTCCTTGGAGGTGCGATCATGCCCACGCCCTGTGGGAAAGTAGGGGAGCACTCCTGCAAAGAGCTTCTGGTTTGGGGAGGAGACATGGACACATCTCCCCAGGCCCAAGCTGAAAAAGATGGATTCCCGTGGAGGGAAGGCCCAAGAAAGTTTCAGAGGAGGCATGGGTGCTGGCAGTGGAAAATAAGGAAGGGGAAGGAGCTTGAATCGAGGCCGGCAGAAATGAAAGAGCCAGGTGGTTAGGGGTGACAAAGACCCTCTCCTTGACCAAACTCAAGTCATTACGACAGGAAGGAATGTCCTAAAATAAAATAAATAAAAAGAAAAAAACAAACGAGTCATGCTGCTCCAAGTCCTCTTTCTGACTAGGCCCTGGCCTTGCGTTCTGTTTTAGCAAGAACCCTGGTGACTCAGGAAGATCCCCGACCCTTGGTGTTTGGTCACCCCAGCCTGCCTGCAGTAAGACTCCCGTCAAGTCAACTTGGCCAGAATCCTCCAGCCTTGATGTTTCCACTTAGCAACTTTCCATCCACTCGCCACCCCCTGCCCCTGCTCCTTGGCATCGATTCCCACTTTTCCTTGTTGTCATCAGAGTTGAGCTCAGCCTCCCCCACTGCAAAACCCCTGCTGCAGTAGTCGCCGCTTCTTAAGTGAAGTCTTCCTTGCCGGCTTCAAGACCTGTCTGATTAATTTCTTATTTAACAGGGGAGAGAAAAAGGATGGGTGGAGAATGGAAAAGCACTGGGTGGTAGACAGGGCTCCCCCGCAGCCCAGCTGCAGAAGGGCTGTGCGTACTGCACCCAAGGGTACTAGGTTCCCTAGGCCTTGGGAGCCTAGCAGGGGAGGGGTGACAGGGTCAAGGGTCGGCTCTGTGTCTACGAAGGCCTGGATCCTGGGAGAAGATGGAAAGCTGGATAAACGGACAATCATGGCAAGGACCCCCGGGCCGAGACAGGAAATGGGTAAAGGAAGGCTGATAGGGTAAAAACAAAGGGGGCACAGGGCAACAATAAACTTAGTATTATTGAAGTCAACAGTAAAAAATCTCTTACACAGGATATAAATGTTCTCTTGTTCTCAGGAGCTGAAAGAGCCATCGAGGCTGGGTGGTCTAGGAGACTTCCTGGACTTCCTTCGCTCCTCCAACAAACACCTGGAGCCTGGTGTGTGGCAGAGGCACTGCGGAGCACTGGAGTACGGAGGAGTGAAGCCCGAGTCCCCGAAAATGGGATCCCATACTTCTAATCAAAGCCATTGGTTAGAAACATGGGATGAGAGCCAAAGGGGGAATGGGCAGGGAGATGGCAATCTGTTCTGCTTGGCTGAATGACGGGAGGCTGTGGCATTGGATCTTGAAGGATGAATAGGAGTTCAATGGGGAATGGAGGGTGAAAAGGCAAGAACACCATAACCAGCTGGGCATGGTCCGATAGGGATAGGCAGGAAGATGCAGCCTGAGTAACGGATTAGGGGACCGGGACTTGGGAAGGACCTGAAGGCAGTGTGTGTGTGGTCACCTCCTAACGGGGTGCTGAAGGAAGTTCTGTTTGTATCCTCATCTGTAGAGTGGGGATAAACTGTCCCACCGGAGTTGCTGAGAAGACTTAACAGGCCAGCAGAAAACTTGCCTTGAGGGCCAAGTATGTACAGGGCAATGGGCATCTTCAGGCTCACAGAAAGCCCCTTCTTTCAGGCCCAGCCCCAGGGCCCTGCTTTCTTCCCCTGATTACAGCCTGCCCCCACGGCCCTTCTTTCCCCTGGTCTCCCAAGTGGCAACCAGGTGAGGCTTGTCCGTGCTGAGACTTCCAAGGTGACCACACATGTGTGCTCTCTCTCCCTCTCAGCTGGACCACTTACTTGCTATGTGACCTTGCAGATCACTCAGCCTATGGTGGCCTCAGATCCTCTGTCCTGTCTCATGGGGTAAGCCCTGCCCCATGAGAGCAGTTGAAAGTGCAAAAGAGAAGGGCTATGAGGTCTAAAATGTGTCAGGAGGACAGGGAATGGGTAAGAGTATTGATGTCACTCGTTGGAATGGGAAGAACAGTCTTTGGTTACAAGACCTAGCTTGGGGGTCCTAATTCGGCTCTTCTCAGCTTTGGCAAGTCACTTAAGTGCTGTCTCTGAGCTCCAAGTGGGAAAAATCCTACTTATCTTAAAGGATTGTGGTAAGGATTAGAACAGTATACCAGACTTGGTTCTCAGCGGGCCACCAGAAATGGTGCTTGTTAATGTCTCATCCGTAGATTCTTGGGGCCCAAATGAATCCCCTCGCCCCACCCACCAACCCACCCCAGGGCTTCCGGAACCCCTGCAGCTGCCAGAAATTATGTGCATGATGGTCATAGCTTTCAACAAACGCTCAAAGGGTCTGTGAACTGCCCCAAAAGTTGAGTCACTGATTACTCCGACTTCCTCTCTTACCAATAAAGAAACGGGGCCTGGAGAGAGAAGGGGATTTACTCAAGGTCACAGAGCAAGTAAGTGGGAAAGTTAGGACCAGCATCCAAGGGCCAAGGACTCCCTTAACTGCCCCCCGCCCATGCGTCAGACACTGCCGACCATCTTTCTGGAGATCCGGGCTTGAGAAGGGAAGGGCCGGTTCTAGGACTGAGACCTCTGCCCCAGGTGGAACAGGATCCTCCCACTGCACAGGTGGAACCAGGGACCCACCCACTCTTCACAGGAACCCTGGGCAGATCATTCACATTTTTATCTCGGTTTTAAGGTGACAGCTCTAGGACTAGGAACACCCTTCAGAGCTGTCTCACCTAGACCAAAGGAACGGGCCTTTTTCCCTACCCTACCCCTGCCCAATCAAGCAGTCTGGATATGGGCTGACTCCACGGAGGGGCATGACCTCAGGCCAAAATTTCTCTACTGGGTGGGATAGAGGAGAGGGATGAAAAATTACCAGTTGGGTGCAATGTATACTATTCAGGTGATGGGTACACTAAAAGCCCAGACCTCACCACTATACAATATATCCATGTAACAAAACTGCCCCTATACCCCTTAAATCTATTGAAATTTTAAAATATATACATTTCTTGGCTGGGAGTGGTGGCTCACACCTGTAATCCTAGCACTCTGGGAGGTTGAGGTGGTAGGATCACTTGAGGTCAGGAGTTTGAGACCAGCCTCAGCAAGAACGAGACCCCATCTCTACTAAAAATAGGAAAAATTAGCCGGGCATGGTGGTGCGTGCCTGTAGTCCCAGCTACTCGGGAGGCTGAGGCGGGAGGAGCGCCTGAACCCAGGAGTTTGAGGTTGCTGTGAGCTAAGCTGACACCGCGGCACTCTAGCCAGGGCAACACAGTGAGATTCTGTCTCAAAAAAATAAAATAAAATAAAATATATAAATTTCTCTACTACTCAGTTTCTTTCATTACCACAAAGGCCATCAACCCTTCCCCACTTGTCAGTTCTCTACTATTTAGCCAAAACTGTCTTCAGATGCAAATCGGATCTG